AATGGGGAACTTCAAATCGGTATACAAACTATTTTACATTTTCGTTCCGTATATCCTTTTCCGGATGATCTACGCAGCCATATACACAGCTTAATCCTTCTGAGATTCGGTTACAATAATCTCACAAAGGTATATAGAAAAATCAAATAGCATTTGGTTACATCAAAGTCTTCCCGAAATCTTTAGAGAAACTATAATTGAACGAAATAATTTACCCAATAATTCATCCAGTGGATTCCATCTGATGCTCGGGGAAACCTGTAATGGAGTTCAACCAACAATGATGCTGACATTGCTTCGGTAAGTTGGGCGTTCACCTGATTGTAGCTCATCTGGTTGAACGTACAGGCTGAAGACCAGAGGCGCCCATGCGTGCGTTTTAATCCCCGCTGGGCTCTTCATCATTTCATTGTTAGATTACAGTCAACATCTCCCTTCTGTTTAAAATCGCAATCACTATGTTGCCCAGACAGAAAGCGGTTGAAAAATAGTCGGAGTTGGAGGCATGAAACTATGGTAATCCTAACCAGGACACTGGGCCATATAGGTACTCTTAATTGTCTCGAATACACATTCCTTTTGGTTCGTTTCTCGATGAGGTAAATCGCTGGAACGAAATGTTTGCTGTTTTATTCCCGCTAGAGGTTTTTCGGGTGTGAACTCGTCGGACAATTGACCTAGTCGGTCCAGTAGCAGATTCAGTGTGGTGTCCTAATTCGGATTTAGTCTTGTAGAGCTATATTCTAATAGAATTTTGTTCGTTTGGTCGACATTGCATGAATAAATGATAGCTTCCATTTTCCGCTTGTATCAAACAGAATTCTTGATGTGTGTTACGGCAGACAGAGTGTAGTTGGGTGTGTGAAATTTTCATGAAAACATCTATTGACGGATAACATTCTGGTGTCAGTACAGATGGAAAACTGCATATAAGTTGCCTAATGCCATCTATGGATGAGTCGAAGCTCTAGTGTGATTGTTCTCTCCACAATTCTGAAAGTGTTCTCCTCGCTTTGAACAATAAAAAAAACTTTTAATGCTTTTATAGTGAGCACAAACACTAGTCATTTAAGCACTTGGGTGTGATACAGTCCCATAAATGACCTAATTTTAGGTCAACAGAAACGAACATCATCCGACCGTATAGAGTGAAAATATTCAACACCCAAGAACCAGATTATTGCCAATGTCGTTTGTTTAACTAATTCAGGTTTGATCGGCTGGGCATCGGCTATATCCCCAAGCAACCAATCCATACGGTCCAAAAATCAAATCGGCTGTTCACCTGCTTTTCTCAATGATCTGAGCAAGTAGGTATTGTTGTGCAGATTGAATGACAATGGTTATTGCACATAGTAGTATAATCATTGCTCAGTGAATGCACAATCACAGACACCAATATCTTTCCAATGCACTGATTCTTTATGAACTTAACTATATAGAATATTGCTCAACACAGACATATAATGACAAACTTGTGTGCAATGACGGAGAAACAACGATGAGTCCAAAGTTGAAAGTTTTATCATGGGAGTAACTTTCAAGCTCATACTTCTCTCGTCCCATAGGTTCATATTGTGGTTCGAATACAGTGATGTATACAATTTCTTGTGTGAAAAGATCGCATGATACGGGCTTTTTCCACTGCTGCACACAACTTCACTTATGTTGGAATCTAACGTGTGCTAAGGCTTCATCAAGTCTGTTTTAAAGATTCAATGCTTGGCGCACAGATGACGTGGGGTGGGAGAGAGTTCCTGATCAAGCACACCCTGACTGCGAATGACTGACGCCGGCATTCCAATCGGCATTTAGAGACCATTAGTTTGAACGGATGTCCTCTAAGATAAACGTTCGGTGATAATTTTAGCAGCGGATGATAGGGATGGCTTGGGTTTTGCATTATCTAGTATACCATAATCATGTCTCCTCTGATGCGTCGGTAGTTATTGGAATATAACCCTAGTGACTTCACTCTCTCTGTGTATGAATAGCGATTCAACTCGTTACCCATTTATGTGACCATCCTTTTTGGACACTGCAGCA